TTAAGCAAGCATTCAAAAGTTATGTGGTTCTCAGGACAGTTTTCTGTAGTCTGAGACTGTCCCATGCATTGCAGGACACCTAGCATCCCTGATCCCCACCCATCAAATGCCAGAAACATTCCTTACAATTATTGTGACCAGCTAAAGTACTCCTTAATTTCCCAAATTCCCCTCATAGGGCTTTACCACCCTTGTTTGGAAATCATACTCTAGAAGTCTTATAGAAAGAAGCATGCTATGGTACGGAACTATATGAAAAAATGTGTTTCAAAAACAGAAAGAAACATTTTTATCAATTATACTAAAAATTATAACTTGCAATTTTATCCTCTTCCAAACATTCTTTCTTCAGCCTGTATTTTTTGGTATTGTGTACTGAGGCTAACTTAAAGAGATTTGTTAACCACTCTAGAACAGATATATATTCTCTTTATATGTTTTTTAATAGAAAGCTTTCCTATATATGACCTTTTCAATACTCCAACTTTTACTTAGCTGAATTAAAGTCAAAAATAGAATCTAATCAATAGATTGTACATGTATAGGCATGCCATGCTTCTATAATTTCATTTGTGTGATTTTATTTTCTATTTTTGTTGTTGCTGTGTGGTTTGGGTTTAGTGTTCCATTGAGCAGCATCAATACTAAGGTGGTCAACACTAAGACACTGCCAGGATTCAGTATTATTAAAGACTGTTATGTGTCAGTATTATCTAGTGCCCTAGGAAATCCATGCAGTACAAGAGTCCCCTTTTTTACTCTGCAAACTCTAAATTTAATAAGGTTCTATTTAATTAGTGCAGGATTCAAATACACGTTCATGCCAAATTTTGCAACCACACGGCAGGTAAGGGAAAGATATTTCAAACACTTACATGGGAACAACCTTAGGTTGCTGTCTTAAAATATCAGTGCAGGATGCAAACCACTTCACAGACTATCCACATAACGGATGAGGTGTGAAAGAAATTCTGTGCTTAACGTGACCTTTGGCTGTACTTTTACTTGTCATAATTATAAAGGAGGTACGCTCAGAGCCAACACATAAGCTATGTTATTACTCTTACAATTATAGTAGTATCTCGCCAAGTGCTTCATATACTGTGACAAACTCGAGGCAAAATATACGGAAGCTCTTACCTTTGTTACAAGGCCTAACAGGCCTTGCTGAACAAAAAGAGTGCTGCTATTACACATACGTATGAATAAGAACTACTGCATAAGAATTTTTCTTTTTAATGTTCATTAAAATACAAATATGCCAGTGTGGTTACCTAGTTCAACTTAACAAGTCATCTATTCTCTAAATGCAAAACAACTTGAAATTTAAATTTAATACCTAATTGTGACTTTAGTAAATACATGTCAAGAAGGAATTAAAAAGAAAACTATACAAAAACCAAAAACCTTTAAGCAACTCTCTTCTACAGATTCCTATTTTCCCACACAGAATTTCACCAAGGAAAAAGAGTTGTTTTCAAAAATGCTTTGGCAAACTGCCAACTTATCAATATAAATGACATGTAACATGATTTTTTAAGGAAAAAAAACCACTACTGGATCATCTAACATAAAATTATAAATTCTGAACGTATAACAAATAGAATTAGTTTTCCGTACAATGTCAAATATACCATTTATCAGAAGATTTACAAAGCAAAACAAGTATTAAAAATCCTGCAATGTATGATACGAAGAAAAACTTTACAACTATATACTATATTATGACCAACTTTGCCATACTCATCTTTCTGTTCCCAATAGTAATACCTCCTCTTTATTTTCACCTTGAAAATAGGTTCCAAAAGCTGTAAAACATCAGAGTCACACTTCATAAAAGTCATAAACACAAACTGCCTAGGTTGGCTAACAAAAACACATAAATACTGGCTATAAAAGAAGTTTGTTTTATCATAAAATATTTTTTAAAATATTGCATGTGAATTAAGATTGCTCTTAAATATGCATTATAAACACTGTTAGGGACTACTCAATAGGAATCTGAGATGTTACTAGGGTGACCAGAGGTCCCAATTTGCCCAGGATGGTACTAGTTTACGCCTATTGTCCTGGCATTCATACAGATGCAATTATTTATGGCACTCACACCAACATCACCCAAGATTTGACCTAACAGAGCCCTGGAAACGGTCTTGGGCTTAAGAGTCAAAAGAAGTGATCTGAGCGTTAGACTTCCACCAGGCAAACATTCAATCTCCCTGAGGCACAAATTCTTCTTCTGTATTTAATTTGGATCCACTATACAGGATTATAAGAAGAATCAAATCAGAGAATTCAAGAAGGTCAAGTACTACCTACTGTTTAAAAAAGATGACCAAATGAAACACAAACTGAATATACTTAGCAAGTTAAGTCTATCAGAGATATAAATAACTACAGTCTCCATAAACAAACAAACAAATGAAAACAACTCAGGTGAAAAACTACATTACAGAATTGTAATGTAGCATAATTACATTACAGATTTGTAATGTAATACAACAAATAAAACTACATAAAACTACGTTAAAACAACAATAAAGCTACATTACAGAATTGTAATGGGCTAAGAAGGACCTTCGGGAGTCACACTAAATGAGTCCCAATTCCAGCACCGTCACTTACTGTCAGCTGTGTGGCAAAGAACAAGTTACTAGGTCTCTGTTTCCTCATTCATAAAATGAAGATAATAACTGTACTTCTCTCACTGGAAAGAGTAACAAATAATCCATGTAAAAGATGATGTGAGCACTGTGCCTGCACATAATAAGTGCTCAGTAAATGCTAGCTCCTATTATGACAATCTCCATCAACATCTCTTTTCAAAAACAAGTCCTAAGAAATTATTCAGGAGACAATTTCACATATGTGTGCATGTGTGTGTGTGCACATATGTGTATCTGTATCTTCCAATTAAAGATCACTTGGATGACACAGCTACATGTTATAGTGTGGGCTGGGTATATTACACAACTAGTATAGGAGGTCTTATTCAACATTGGACAAGGTAGCTTTTTTCTCTGAAAGAAGTCCACAGTGGCATCCTGAAGCACACTTTAAAATAAAAGTCCATATCTAACAATATCTGTGGCTGTTCATCTAGAGAACAGAGGAGTCACAGATATGTACAATAAACACATTTTTAAATCCATGTATATAAATCAAATGAAACCGCTTCCTTTAAAGCAAGCACATGAAGATACTAAAGCAATATCCCAATTAAACGTTAATATAGTCAATATTTCAAAATAAGAAATTTGGGTTTACATATGCACAGTTTAAAATTCTATAGTGAGGGCTTCCCTGGTGGCGCAGTGGTTGAGAGTCTGCCTGCCGATGCAGGGGACGCGGGTTCGTGCCCCGGTCCGGTAAGATCCCATGTGCCGTGGAGCGGCTGGGCCCGTGAGCCATGGCCGCTGAGCCTGCGTGTCCAGAGCCTATGCTCCGTAACGGGAGAGGCCACAACAGTGAGAGGCCCACATACCGCAAAAAAAAAAAAAAAAAAATTCTATAGTGAAACCTGTCTACAGAGGTCATTTTCCCTATATTTCAACAGCATATAGTTCAACTTGAAATGTACAACGCTGCTTCTCTCTGAAATGTTAAAACTGTAAGGTACACAGTAATTCACTGCAAGCAAACACAGGAGAAAGGCTATGTTGTACACATGATACCCTTTAACCCAAACAATTACTTTAACTTATTCATTAAACCCATTCAAAAAGAGAACACTAATAACTTGTGCTACCTTACGAAACAGTCAGAACTAAGAAGAAATACTTTATTTGGTTAAAAACAGAAACTTCACATAAGAGAATTATTAGGTAAAGACAGAGAAATTATAGCTGGCATTTATAAAAGACCTTGTACATTTTTAGCTCATTAAAATAAAGTGGTATAAAACTTTCCATAAGAGATATGGTATAAAATAAGTATGTCACTAAGACTGATATAAAAATCTATATAAACATCATGTTGCTTTCCAAATACACATATAACAGGTATTTAAAAAAAACAAAGGGCTACATCAAATTTATATCTCAGGAATCCAAATCTAAGTTGGACTTCATTTCTCTGAGCTTTCCTAAAAATATTCCAGTAGTAAAATAGCTTTGCCACTAAAATAAAATAACTAAGACTCCATTATCTATTCTATAGCAAGTAAGAAATACCGACCTGCCGTTTAGAGATACCAAGGATAATGTGGACTGAGGTTTATATGTTCTGTCTCACTTTACAGGCTATAGGCTATATCATTAATTTGTAAGTGACTCTACAATAAGTATGCACACAACAAACAAATATTCTATCATGGGTAACCCTAAACAGGTAAATTTAGAACTGAACAAAGCATAACTGAAATTTTATCACTACCATAAATTACTTTTTAAAAAAATCCCTGGGCATTGCAATGAATATACTTTTGCCTTAGAGCTAATACTTTAATTTTAAAGAACCACAAAGAAAAAAATCAAAACTAGTCAGTAACAATGCAGCAACTAAAAGCAATAAACTCAAAATTAAGTTATAAATAATTTAAAGCATGTCATGAAGATGTATTAATAATTCATCAGATAAATAATTTACTAAATAATCAAATAAATAAATAATGAAATACATAAATAAATCAGCAAATAAATAATTCTGCAAAATAACCTAAACAATAAGTCACCCAAACAAATCACAAACCTACAAAATTACAATGATTCTTTGGATTCTGATAGTTTTAAATAAGCAAATGTACATAAACTAGATCAATCCTTGTTAGAATTAGAAATATTTTTCAATGCTGTTTGTAAAATCCTCATCTCAGTACATAAGAACACATTTTCAATTTTTAAAAGACTGCATAGGATTAGTTCTTATAAATTATTAACATGATTATAATATATCCTCTTCTATATTTTACATATAATAACTCTGCCTAACATATTTTCCCCCAAACAACTGGATACTTAAAATATTCTTAATTTACAGTTCTTTTTCAAAGCAATACTTACAGTACAATAGTGCTATAGTCTTTCTGATAGCTTTCCTATCTTCACCAAGTCTGGAAATTTTCTGCAAGGGATAGAACAGTTAGAATAAGCTTAATTATTATAGACAGCATTTCATTCACTGGTGAACAATGCTTTATAACTCTACAAAGTAGCAATGGGAAGTGGAGGTTATTAGTTGTGAACTTTGTCAAGTTTTTAGAAGTCTTAAGTGGACTAAGCACAAGCTGATAGAGGCCTGGCTTCCTCTAATGGAGCTGTTACAATTGGAGGGATTTCAGATGTGAAGACAAAAACTTCTGAAGGTCAAAGCGACTGGCTGACATCTAATGCTATCAACAACTGGAGAAGCTCACAGTCCCTGAAAGAACACAGGAGATCACTTAACTGTTACAATGTGAATGCTGCGACAACCTAATGGGAGCACCACAAAGAGACAAAACACAACTGACCTCATAAGTCAGTCTTCACTTAACATTTATTTCAGGTTTTTATCCACCCACAGTATAGTACTCTTGAAGTCCATAAAGAGCAGATCCTAAACTGTGATAGCCTTTCCCGCAGAAATAAGAACTTTGTAATGAGTGTTTGACACTTTCAAGGGAATAAATCCAAACAGTATAGCACAACATCTGAAGAGAAAGAAACTAAAATTAAAATATTTTGATAATCTAGCTCAATGAATTCTCAAACAACTTAGGTAATATTTTACCTATTTCACAATCAAGGAAAATGAGGCTCAGCAAGGGTCTGTATGCTGCCTGCGGTCCCCAAGGGGCAGGAAGATTCTAACTTTTTCTACACCACTTCACGTGAAGGGTCACTGAACTACAGGCTCCTTCAATTTGAGCCCACCTTAAAAATACAGCAAATCCTGAAGCTTCGAAAATTGGTTAGAGCAATGGTTTTCAACTGGGGGTGATTTGCCTCCCAAGGGACATTTGGCAATGTCTGGCAACATCTTTGGTTGTCACAACCAGAGAGTATTACTGGCATCTAGTGGGTAGAGATCAGGGATGCTGCTAAACGTCCTACAATGCACAGGATAGTCTCCCACAACAAATAATTATCTGCCCTAAAGTGTTAATAGTGCTGAGGGTGGGAAACTCTGGGTTAGCGTAAAAGGTCTTTCAGGGCTGTGCAGTTTTCCTGTTATAAAATAAGACACATTTGGTTCAGGGATATAAAGTCTTTTTTTATGTGTGTGGAACACCCTGGATAAAAATGTGTATACTGTGGAGAACGGGTATATGGGAACTCTTTGTACTTTCTGCTCAATTTTTCTATAAACCTAAAACTTCTCAAAAAATAGTCTAGTAACTTTTTAAATGTGTATCCTTCACTTCTTTCACCAAAGTTATGAGTAACTGTCTTAGAATCAATACCCCCAAAACACGTCTAAAGTTATAAATTAAATTTTTTTTAATTTCATTTGTCAAAATTCTTCCAATAAAGTTAATGAGAGCATTAAAAGTCACATTTATGAACTAACTCTGTCTAAATGACTAGCCAAGATATCTAATAAATATTACAAATTCATAGGGCTTTAAGAGATTATTTTGATACACTACAATTAATAACCTTCAATACTTAGTGATTTCTTTTGCCTAAAAGCTGCCATACATTTTCTGAAATATTTGTGGTAATTATTAAAATCATTTGAGAACAAAATTCGGCAATATAATTATCAAAGAACTCCAGAAAATACATATCAAGTATTTCCCTTTCAATGCCAATTAATCTCTCTCCAGTCTCAAAGTAGATTTTGGTTTTCAACATGGATCTAGAATCTACCATGACACAATGCATGTTTCCTTATATTGGACCCATCACATTACTGCACAGAGCATCAAACAATGGCATCCTTTATCAGCTAGGGTTAGGTCATATCCTTCCCAAGACAAAAAAATTTTTTAATTAATTATAATACAATGACTTAAGAGAGGAAAAAAACAAAGGGAGAGAATTTCTCCCATGTAAATGTCTAGAAGTGGACAATCAAAGGCTGATGTGGCCGCTCCAAATATTAGGAATCCAAGTTCTTTCCACCTTTTTGCTCTACCATATACTGTTCTATTAAAAGTCACCTCACACTCCAAGAAGGCTATGGGGAGCAGCACGAAGGAAGGGGAAGAAAGGCCCATCTCACTCTCTTCTAATGCTCATATTTCAGCTTACAGCTTCGCAACCATAACCTAGTCCTTTGGCCACACCTAACCACTTGAGGGGATAGGAAACACAGTCTCCAAATTTGGTAATACTGCCCACATATAAAATTGGGATTCTTTTTATTAAGGAAGAAAGGGAGAACGATTTTGTGGAGCGAATTATGAGAGGCAGACTGTGGTGGAGGTAACAACTCTTCAAAGAAAATGGGAGATGTACTCAAAATTCTCATTAGAGTGGTTCACTGGGAGATTAGGATTGACATATATACACTACCATGTGTAAAACAGACAGCTAGTAGGAACGTGCTATAAAGCACAGGAAGCTCAGCTCGGTGCTCTGTGATGACCTAGAGGGGTGGGGTGGGGGTGGGGGTGGGAGGGAGGTCAAAGAGGGAGGGAATATGTATATCTATACATAGAGCTGATTCACTTCCTTGCACAGCAGAAACTAACACAACATTGTAAAGCAATTATACTCCAATAAAAAAATTTTTAAAAAAAAGACCTGGAAAAAAAAAAACTATGTGTATACGTACGTTCATGTGTATATGTGTGTGTATATATATTTACGGAAGAAAATCTAAATGTTTAACAATATGTGTATGGTTAAATAAATTTGGGGATAATCTCAGAACAGAATGCTATGTAGACACTAAATAACACTTCAAAAAATTTTTACAGATATGGAAGAATGTTCATAATATTATATGAAAAAGAATAGGCTATAACACGTTTCATATAAAATAATCCCTATTTTAAATAAATATACATACTTACAAACATACACATATACACACAGTATACACTGATATCTATATACAGGCACATTTTATATCTATATCTAGAGAGAAACTGAGACCATATAAAAATCAAGAGAACAGGGCTTCCCTGGTGGCGCAGTGGTTAAGAGTCCGCCTGCAGATGCAGGGGATACGGGTTCGTGCCCCGGTCTGGGAAGATCCCACATGCCGCGGAGCAGCTGGGCCCGTAAGCCATGGCCGCTGAGCCTGCGCGTCCGGAGCCTGTGCTCCGCAACGGGAGAGGCCACAACAGTGAGAGGCCCGCGTACGGAGAAAAACAAAACCAAAAAAAAAAAAAAAAAAAAAAAAAAAATCAAGAGAACAGAATTAAATGATAATAGTGGTTTAGGCTTTGGGAAGCAACTTTCATTGCTTTCTAATTCTTCTACAATGAAAACATATTACGCTTTTGATTTTTTTCATGAAGATTTTGGCCTAGATGAGGAAAAGCACTTTATAAAGGTAATTAGATTCAAGCTTTAATTTATTTTGTTACTTGGAACTTGGTGATAATTTAAAAAAGCCGGGGGGGATCTATAGCTGCGCTGTATCTTTCCCAACTGGGGCAAAATATACATGTTCCTCCTGAGTTAACAGTAAGAAGCCAACCTCTCTATGCCCAACTTGTTTTCAACTTACTAACATTCATATATCACATTTATCAGCTTTACACAACTCACTCCTAACCAGATGCTACATCCATCATTCCTAACAATTTACCCTGACATATTGATTACTTTGCTCATCTCATTCTGTAGAACTAATCATTCGTACTTCATGCTTCTACAAATCCTTCCATTTTCTATATTTCTGAGTCTATTTTTCTTAATGCTACTCTACTGCACATTTTTCTGGTTACTTATATAATGGATCTATCTAACAGAAATTACATGTTTCTTATATCTTTGTGACTATCTTGCATTGTCTTGAATTTTCCAGAGTTATTACTGAGTATACACACTATTGTTACATTGGTATTAATTCTATTATCTGCAAGTCTCAACATTACCATTAGTAAAGTCTCAATTTAGAATGCCTCAAAGTTCTCCACATTTTCTAGAATGATTCAATTTCCTAAACCCCCATTACTACCATATAAAAAAATGAAAAAATAAGTAAAAAGTAAGAGACTGATATATTTAAAACTACTAACAAGTATATGGGGTTGACCAAAATTGCAAACAAATAAAAAGGTAAAATACATAGTCCCCACCCTCTAGAACTTGAGGGAAACAAGAAAGACACAGACACAAATACACAAACACACACACACACACAGAGGGCGGGGAGGAAGAGAGAGAAAGAAGTTCACAACCAAATGTAATAGGGACAAGTGTACAATCCAGACAATATGTACTACAGAAAATCCAGAAGGTAAAAGCCACAGGCAGGAATCATCAAAGAAGGCTCTTCAACTGAGGCCAAGTTCATATAGAGCTAGAACGGTGGTTCTCAACCGCGGGAGATGGTGCCCCCAAAGGACATTTGGCAACATCTGGAAACACTTTTAACTGTTAGAAAATGGGAGGTACTATTTGTACCTGGTGAGTAGAGGCCAGGGAAGCTGCTAACATCCTACAATGCACAAGACAGCCCCCCACAAAAATGAATTATCCAGCCCAAAATGTCAACAGTGCTAGAAGCAGCGGCTGGAGTCAAAAGGAGAGATAGTATTTAAACAGGATAGAATGACACGAGTGAAAGAATGGCAGCTACAACACACGATGTCTTTAATAAACCATAATATCACCAGTGAAGGAACAGTGGGAAACCAAGGAGAAAACATAACTGGGTATAGATTGTAATGGGTCTGTACAAGAAGTCTGATGGACCAAAGAGATAAAATAGTTTAACAAAAATACAAGAGAGCACAGGCAAAAATAGCAACATACTTCATAAGACTAAACTGTAGACAGATGGGTCACTGATTTCCAGCAGTATGGCAGACTAGATACCTTGATACTACTAGATACAACTTTTTAACGTTAGTGGGAAAATCTGTTTTAATGAATTGCTTAGCTAGCAAGAAAGTACCCTATCCACATAAGCTATAAACACAATGAAAGTAGAATAAGCAAACCTAGGAAACCAGCTTT